CAAATAATATAAACAACTATTGAAGCGATAAATAATACACATTCAAAACTTTGATAAAGTTGAAGCACATAACTTACCAGTTCAGCAAGAAGTGATGATCTTGACAGCTGGGGACAAACCAAAAAGGAAACAGAAGCATAGTAAGTTTTACAAGAAAGAAATCTAACATGCAACTTTGGGACAACAATTGAGGGGAAGTAAAATACCATTTCTCTGCTTTCAGGTTTAGTTTCAAGATTAAAGCCAATGAGATTAGCCATCCTCAAATTTCTCTCTTTTTCGTGCTCCAGTTCCAAATGGGATGCGCCATAGGTACGATCATGAGGAGGCACTGAAAGTGCAGCTAGAACAACAGATGAAGCTATTAATTGCAAATCCTTCTGACTCAGATTCTTGTTGAAGCTTTTCTGCAATAAAAAAAGCCTGAACCATGCATATGCATGATACAGATGACTTGATGATATCCAAAATATTTCTGTCAGCTTCACATAGTAAACAACCATCAAAGATGGCTTAGGCGTTTTCTTGACCAAGCACATCAGTCCATGTATATCCTCCACCGATCTAAAGGCTTCCTGCAAAAAGAAAAAACATTGTCAGGTTGTATTGCCAAAAATTCTCAATGCTATGAATATTAACAAAACAAACATGCAAGATATGCCAACCTGCCACAGTTCAAGTTCAGTGGCAATTTTCAGCTGCTCAACCCTAGTATCAAGATACAATTGTAAGCTTTCAGGAGCTGAAAGATCAGGCCTGTCACGTTGGTCACGATATTTATTGAGATTAGCCAAATGGTTTCTAATGATTTCACACAGTCGGCGGAACTCTGTTGTTCGTTTATATTGCTTACAGAACTGAAAAGCTCGATGAGCTGTCATCTGCAAATAGCATTAGAGTCTATTATTAGTCAAAGAAGCATTCTTAAATTATTATCATCATCAGAAGCATGTAACAGTTGAAAACAACAAAGAAATGTAAGCATAGAACCACAATATATCCTAAAACCAATCAATTAATTACAAATAGTTAAAATGCATGCCACTGTTAAATGTCTAAATTTCGTAACAGTGTAAAATTCAGAAACATTTTAGAAAACAGAGGCATATTTGTCAGTCTCTCAAGAAAACCAATTATCCACCGGGAGAGAGAACACTATGAAATTATGAACAACAAATAGCCGAAGCAAAACCAAGCATCATTCGTAGTCAACAATATATTGTTTTAGAAAGCTAGATTTTGTTTAGGAAAGGTAGATATTCGTAGTAAAAAATAAATATCTATATCATTCATCATATTGTTTACGAAAGCTAGATATCTTTTTAAGAACATCTATAACATCGAGTTGTAAAGGAACAGAAGAAGAATTACAGCATATAAAGCTTCCAGTTTTGAGTTGTTCCGCAATATCTCAAGCACTGTCCTGTATGTCTCCCAAAGAAATTTAAACCATGGGGTAACAAGCTCTCGATCAGATCTGTCCTTTCCTTTCTCCCCACTGACATAGCTCAACATCAAATCCTCCGGCCTTTTATCAGCCTCTAAATCATCAACATCAAGTGCTTCTTCTAATGCCTGTGCTTGGCTACGGGCTTGCTCAGCTTTCTCAGTTGAGAGGTGCATAAAGTGTTTAATAACCTCTTCAAGTGAACTAACATTGACCTGTTGACAAATTATTCTGTATTGAATAAGCCCATCTTTAGCAAACCGTCCTTTGCGCATGTCCACACAAAGTTCAACATACTTGAACATAATCCTTTCAAGTGTCTTTTGCCATGCTCTATATCTCTTTGAGGTAATGAGGTCATGAAGAGTCTGCAAAGCATCCTGCTTCTGCCCAACGTTGATCAACTCTGCATGTTATTGAAATTTTCACAATCAGTCAATTACATCATTGTCATTTTACATATAAAAACAAAAAAGAGATTTTAAGCGAAGAGTAAAAAAGACATCAATCACAAACACAAACAGTATGTAATAATATAATTTTCTTTAACTAACCTTCCGCCCTTTTGAGAGCATTCTCAGGCTTCAAGAACGATGTCATATTGACGACTCAGATAACAACCCTGTTCAAATACAAATAAAGTGTGACAAACAAGAACAACAAAAATTTAACCCAAAACAACAAATAAAACGAACCCTAAAAAATTTTCAACACACCGGATTCTAGTTCATGGGATTGGAATAAATTTAAAGAGAATACATTCATATGAGGAAACAACTAAAACAGCAAAGTCTGACAAGATTAAAATGAGAAACAGATTTACATATAATTGAATATACATGAAGTGAAACTCATTTAAATAGCAGATAAGATCACGAAGTGAGCATCAATATAACTGAAAATAGTATCACAGGTATATAAACGATCGGAACAAACAAGATTCGGGATCTGGTAAATCAGAAGAGCGAAAACGATTCTGTCGTGCGCACCGTCACTGGCAGTGGCGAAGGTACAGAATCGAATAGAGACTAGGGTTTGAAAAAGGGTAGAAATGCAAATGAGAACGATAAATATAGAGAGCAGGAAAGTCGAAGGAGGGAGAGAGATAGAAGCGAACCTGAAAAGGGAGAGATAGACGCGAACCTGAAAAGAGGCCGCACTTGCTCTAGTAGCGTCGTCGTGGTTACCCTAGGAGAGAATGGGAGCACAAAGTTTATTTCGAATGCCTATTCCAGTTTGTAAATAGATGGGCCTAGATTGGGTTGGGCCTAGATTGGGTTGGGCCAATTTCTGCCCACGCTTGTTTCTTGTTATAATTGGGCTGTTTCTTTATCTACCTCCATAGTTTCTGTCTGTATTCCCATAAATAATATAAATCCTATTTTACCTCTTATTAATATATTTCATTTTCGAATTAGGCATTATTGATTATTCCGAAATGTATTTTTAAAATGATTATTCTGAAAATGTATTTTAAATTATATGTTTTTAAATATATTATCAAAACAATCAATTTAAAAATATATTTCAAAAATATAATTCAAATCGACTTTTTCATAAGTCATTCTCAAGTTTGAAAATGCATTTCAAGCGAGTTGAAATTTTATACTCACTTTCAATCCAATTTTCATATAATACAAAACATTAACAATTTCTTACTTTAAAACAGTATTCACTGGAAATGGAACAACAGGAAAATAAAATTACAGATGCACAAAAAAAAATATAAAGATGGAGAGGAAAAAAGAAATAAACTCTTAAATTTCAAACAAAAACTAATAAAAATATATTTTGATCTGATTATACGAATGCACAAGAAAAATTATAGTAGTGCAGAAAGCAGGTAATATTAAACATGTACTAAATTTTAATAATGCACTTTAAAAATTTATTTTGTCTGATAAAAAAAACATGTATTTGTCCAATTTAGTTATTTAAAAAAAAAATAATAAACAAATCCTATATATTTTTAAAATAAATAATGCTTTAAGTTTTAAAAATTGTCTGTGACTTTTTTTTATCGGATTACATTTTAGGGTTATTATTACATGTATGTATTGTCTTCTAAATGACATAATTTTTTATTTTGAATATATATGTTTATCATATTTTAATCAAATCAATAAATAAGTTATTATATTGAAGATAGATAATAATGAGTAAGATTTATTTCTGTGAACAATTAAAATGTTTATAATCAATTTATAGAATATTTAAATGATAAATTTATGTAAATTATATTTTCTTACATAGTATAAATAAAGAAATAATCGGTAATTTAAAAATATGTATTTGTATTCGTATTATCTGTATATATAAGAAGATACTCTAATGAAAATAATAAACAGATTTTGCAATAAATATTAGTTATTAAAAAGGTTAATAATATATTTCATACTAACAACGCAAATATATATATATATATATATATATATATATATATATAAGAGAGAGAGAGAGAGAGAGAGAGAGAGAGAGATTTTGTATCTATTTTTCTTAACATTCGGGCAAACAAGCCTTTGTTAAATTATGTTTTATTGAGATGTTAATACCGTATTTCAAAGTTTATGTTTTATTAGCTGGTAATAAAGTTTAATTTTAAGCTTTTTTATAATATATGAATAATTTTTCAAAGAAAAAGCTTATACATATTTTTATTGATAGATTAATATTAAAATGATAAATAAATGCTACATTGATGAAGTTAAACATTAAATTAAAAGTTTTCCTATAATCAAGGTTAATTGAATTGTAAATAAATCAAATAAGTCAAGATTAAATTTATTAGATTTTTACTAATCAAAGCTCAAATTTTTAATTTAATTATATTAAATAAATAAATCAAACTTAAATTATTAATTATTTTTACAAGTTAAGTTCGAACTTAAACCAACATCCAATCTGATTAATAAATTTACATTAAATAATTTATCTTTCCGTTTATTCAGTAATATATTTTTAAAGAGTTTTAATGCGATCTAGAAGATGATATTTTTATCTAAATAATCTCTTAAAACAATCTTGACTTGATATAAATTTATGCGTTCCATGAAACTAGCTAACTCTTTTCCTTCATAACTATTTAAGAAAGAAATTGACCTAGATTCATGTAAAATCAATTGCTATCAATAAGGTAGAGTCTATATCACTTATTTTTTCCATGGAATAAGAGTCTTGGCAACACCATAAAAGAAAATACTAATACAACACAAAAACACAAAACTATTTTAGAAAAACTAAAAGTAACACTACCATTGCTCGATAACATCAAATAATTTTGTCCATATAATCCTTTTTTCTTTTTTTAACGTACAAGCCATATGCAAAATATACATTGAAGTTAATAGAATACAACATTCAAAGAACATACAATCCCTTTTTTTTTTTCATACATGCCATCAATAATCTATTGCTTATTTATGTACATTGAAGGAAACAAAATTTAACATGCAAAGAACATACAATCCCATTTTTTTCTTTTTGCACCCAATAACAAACTATTGCTTATTTATGTACATTGAAGGAAATAGAATACAACATTAGTATGTTTCAGTCATAACGCTTCTGCAACTGAATAGTGCACTTCTGTAACTGATTTTTTCAAGAAGCTAGTTCCACAATACCAATCCTGGTTAGGAACATCAAGAGCATCTAATTCAGAAGAAGCTACAAGCACTGGATCACAAGAATCCATCGACTTGTAGCACAAACCAGAAATTCCACCTAGCTTGCGAAACTGTTGATCTTTGTTGTTGTCCCCTTGAGATGAATTTCCCTTTTTACCCTTCTTTCCATTCTTCTTTTCAGGTTTCTTCTTCCTGGATTTTCGTTGCTTCTTGTTGCTTTTGACAGTGTGTGATAATAATGTAGGTATTGGATCATACACATCATGCGCCCATTTCACATGCAGTTTCACGTGTGGTCCCCCATGTTTCTCTCGGCTACCTTTCATGGCAGATACAAGATTTAGAGGAGTCTGTGGTATAAAATTCGAAAAATGTGGAAGTCAGTTAAAAAGAATAGGTACATGCTAAAGTAGATATTTGTCCAATAATATGTTAAAAAACTATGTTTCAGATAACGTGACTCTATCACCAGTTTTGAAAGCATATAGAGTAACCTGAAAGCTCCCTGTGTTGTACTTAATACTGGTTTTTCAAAAACCAGTCACTATCTTGCACTTGCCCTTATAACTGTTTTAACTAGATTCATGAAAATTTTCTTTTCCTATTTTGATTAATTCAAAAGGAAAGAAGAATATGAACTATACACGACACACATAAACACTGTCTTTCACTATTTTGAAGTTGTTTTGCAAAAAAGACATCTAATATGCTACTTTGGGACAACGATTGAGAGGAAGTAAAATACCTTTTCTTTGCTTTCAGGTTTAGTTTCAAGATTAAAGCCAATGAGATTATCCATCCTCAAATTTTTCTCTTTTTTGGGCTCCAGTTCCAAATGGGATGCACCATAGGTACGATCATGAGGAGGCACTAAGAGTGCAGTTAGAATAACAGATGACGCTATTAATTGCAAATCCTTCTGACTCAGATTTTTATTGAAGCTTTTCTGCAATAAAAAGAGCCTGAACCATGCATATGCATGATATAGATGACTTGATGATATCCAAAATATTTCTGTCAGCTTCACATAGTAAACAACCATCAAAGTTGGCTTAGGCGTTTTCTTGACCAAGCACATCAGTCCATGGATATCCTCCACTGATCTAAAGGCTTCCTGCAAAAAGAAAAAACATTGTCAGGTTGTATTGCCAAAAATTCTCAATGCCTTGAACATTAACAAAACAAACATGTGATAGATGCACATATATAAATAAGAAATGCCAACCTGCCAAAGTTCAAGTTCAGTGGCAATTTTCAGCTGCTCAACCCTAGTATCAAGATAGAATTGTAACCTTTCAGGAGCTGAAAGATCAGGCCTGTCATGTTGGTCGCAGTATTTATTGAGATTAGCCAAATGGTTTCTTATGATTTCACATAGTCTGCAAAACTCTGTTGTTCGTTTATATTGCTTACAGAACTGAAAAGCTCGATGAACTGTCATCTGCAAATAGCATTAGAGTCTATTAGTTAAAGAAGCATTCTTATATTATCATTATCATTTGTTACAAAGAAGCATGTAACAGTTTAAAACAATAAAGAAATGTAAGAATAGAACAACAATATATCCTAAAACCAATCAATTAATTATAAAATAGTTCAAAATGCATGCCACTGTTAAATGTCTAAATTTAGTAACACTGTAAAATTCAGAAACACTTTAGTAAAACAGAGGCATATTTGTCAGTCTCTCAAGAAACCAATTATCACAATAGGAGAGAGAGAAGAATTCACTATGAAATCATGAACAACAAATAAATATCAAAGCTATTGTTTGCGAAAGCTAGATATTTTTTAAGGAAGACCTATAACATCAAGTTGTAAGAAAACATAAGAAGAATTACAGCATATAAGACTTCCAGTTTTGAGTTGTTCCGCAATATCTCAAGCACTGTCCTGTAAGTCTCCCAAAGAAATTTAAACCATGGGGTAACAAGCTCTTGATCAGATTTGTCCTTTCCTTTCTCACCACTGACATAGCTCAACATTAAATCCCCCGGCCTTTTATCAGCCTCTAAATCATCGACATCAAGTGCTTCTTCTAATGCTTGTGCTTGGCTACGGGCTTGTTCAGCTTTCTCAGTTGAAAGGTGCACAAAGTGTTTAATAACCTCCTCCAATGAACTAACATTCACTTGCTGACATATTATCCGGTACTGAATGAGCCCATCTTTAGCAAACCGTCCTTTTTGCATGTCCACACAAAGTTCAACATACTTGAACATAATCCTTTCAAGTGTCTTTTGCCATGCTCTGTATCTCTTTGAAGTAATGAGGTCATGAAGAGTCTGCAAAGCATCCTGCTTCTGCCCAACGTTGATCAACTCTGCAATTTTCAGAATCATTCAATTGCATCATTATCATTTTACATAGAAAAAAAACACATTTTAAGCAAAGGTGTAAAAGACATCAATCACAAACAGTATATAATCATTTTCTTTAACCAACCTTCCGCCCTTTTAAGAGCATTCTCAGGCTCCAAGAACGATGTCATATTGAAAACTCAGGTATATGACAACCTGTTCAAATCCAAATAAGGGGTGACAAACAAGAACAGAACAAAATTTCAACCCAAAACAACAAATAAAACGAACCCTAAAGTGAAAATTTTCCAACACACCGGTTTCGAAGTTCATGGGATTGGAATCAATTAAATTAAAGAAAATACATTCATAAAGTGATGAAACAACTAAAAGCAGCAACTAAAACACCAAAGTCTGTCAACTATTAAAATAAGACAGATAATTGAATCATAGTATAAATGACGCGAAACCCATTTAAATAGCAGATAAGATCACGAATTGAACATCAATATAGGCGTATAAACCAACGGAACAAACAAGGATTCGGGATCTGGTCAATCAAAAGTGAGAAAGCGATTTTCTTGTGCGCCACCGTCACTGGCACTAGTACAGAATCAAATAGAAGGCTAGGGTTTGAAAGAGGGCATAAATGCAAATGAGAGCGATAAATACAGAGAAGAGAATAAACGGGAGAGAGGAGATAGACCCGAACCTGAGAAGAGAAAAAATAACTTGATGGATATGGTCGCACTTGTTTAGTGGCGCTGGCGCAGTGGTTACCCTAGGAGACCATGTGTAGAGTTTATTGTATGTAATATTAAACATGCATTAAATTTTTAATAATGTATTTTAAAAATTATTTTGGTTTGATAAAAAAAAATTCCAATTTATGTATTTAATAATACTACTAATAAAAAAATTATATATATTTATTAAATAAATAATACTCTTAAGTTTTAAAAATTAACTCACACAATATTATTATTACATATATTTATTTTCTTCTAAATGGCATGACTTTTTTATTTTTAATATATATTTTTATCATATTTTAATCAAATCAATAGCTAAAGTTATTACATTGAAAATATTTATTTTCTTCTAAATAACATGACTTTTTTATTTTGAATATATATTTTTATCATATTTTAATCAAATCAATAACTAAAGTTATTACATTGAAAATATATAATAATAAATAAGATTTATTTCTATAGTAAATAATTAAAGTGTTTATAATCAATTTATAGACTATTTAAATAATAAATTTATGTAAATTTTATTTTAAAAATGTCTATTTATTTTATAGTATTATTTTTTTAAAAATAATTATAAAATATTATACTCATCACATCTCAAATTTTAATTCTAAAACATGTTTTCAAATAAGTTGGCACTGATTATTTGAGAGAAACTTAGTCAATTTGATTCTCAAATATTCTTGTGTTTTTTTTTTTAATTTAGTACATTTACAAATATTTCAGAAACTAGTTTAGAGAAACGTTGATGCAATTTGGAACCAAAATTACAAAAAAATAAAATGGTAAATTGAAACTGTAAAATATTAAATATTTAAACTTTTAGCGCTTATTTATTTCGACGGAAAGATAAGAGCCATGGAAATCCGAAAATTTCATATATTTTTATGCATAAAATTATAAAAATCGATAAAAATATTTTTTCTCGAAGTGAAAAAAGTTTTTTTTTAAATATTCATAATTGATTATGTATGTCAACATTTTATATAATTGATTATAGATAATATAATAATTATTTATGTTTGCAAAATTTATATTTAATATATTTTTTATATTATTATAATAATAAATAATTAAAAATAATAAATAATTTTTTTTATTCTTTATTTTTTTTAATTCAATAAATTTCACTTCTCACTCTTTTTCTTATTTTTTTCTACCCCTTCAAATTCACTCTCTATTTCTAACCCAATTAAAGCATTAAAATCTCAACTTTTAAAAGTCATATAATCCAAAATTATAAATGATTGTAAAACCTCTTGAATTTTTTTTTTCCATTAAGAGTAAAAGTAAGTATTCATAAAATATTTGAGGTCAACTTGTCAATTATTCGTTTAAACTCATCTGGTAAGTTAAATAAACAGAATTTTGTTAATTAAATTTATTTAAACAAGCTTCGATCAAACTTTAAAAAATTGTGATTAAATATTGTAACCTAAATCTTAAAAATTGAATGCTGTAATTTATGTTTTATTGAGATGTTAATACCGTATTTCAAAGTTTATGTTTTATGAGCTGGTAACAAGTTTTAATTTTAAGTTTTTTTTTATATGGATACTTTTTTCAAAGAAAAAGCTTGTACGTGTTTTTATTAATAGATTAATATTAAAATGATAATTAAATGCTAAACATTAGATTAAAATTTATCCTAAAATTTAAATTAATTAAATTGTAAATAAATCAAATTAGGCAAGATTTAATTTATTAGTTTTTTAACAAATCAAAGCTAAAATTCTTAATTTAACTAAATTAAATAAATAAATAAACTAACTAACTAAGTATCCCATGAAACTAACTAACTCTTTCTACCCAGAATCATGTGAAATCAATTGCAATCATAAGGTAAAAGAAGAATTTATATTAGTTTAAAAACATTATTGCAATCATGTGAAATCAATTTATTCTTTTAAAAGAAACTGTTGATATCAAGTTTTATTGAAAATAACACATGAGAAATAAGTTTTATCTCTTTCCCACTGAAGTCAGTCCAGTTATGGTAAGTCACTTTGAAAAAAAAAAAGATTTTCAAAGAAATCTATGAAGAAACCGGTATCCATGGACAAGGAACACCCGGAGCTTCATTCCCCTCTGATGATGAGGAAATACACTTCTCAGACTAAATGATCAAATAAGGACTTGAAGACATATCTTCTGTATCAGTTTCCAGAAGATGTTCTTAAAACTTGAAGACAAATACGGCGGAACTATACAAACCCCGCCTCACCACAATCAATGAGTCTTTCAGATAAAGACGAATTCACCCTTGAAGATTTCGAGGAACTCCTAATGATGTAATCCTTTACGTCATTAGCCAAGACAATTTCGCCCTTGAAGATTTCGAGGAGCTTCTAATGACGTAAGCCCTTACGTCATACAACAATATCCAAAGACGATAAAGGTTAACGACAAATAATGATATTTTGCTACATTGTCATAGTTCCTCTACCGTTACATGTTGTTAGGCCCTTTAAGCCTTGCGTGTTAATGATGGAACGATTAAACTAATCTTTTAATATAATAAAAAAAATTACTATTCAAAATTTTGTCTTTTTAGTGACGGAAAATATCTTCCGTAAACTCCTCTCCCTTTTAGATTATTTCTCTTTTAAGTTTTTCTTCAAAACCCATAAGTCATAAAGTGAGTCCCACATATAAATTTTACTATTCAATATTTTATAATTTTATTTTTCTATATAAGGACCTATAAGCCCATTATGCTTGGCAAGAGTCCTTCCATCCTTCTCCCCTCTCACTCTTCCCTCACTTCTCCTCCTTCTCTATACTTCCCCTTCCCCCTCACTTATGTAAATCCAACTATATCAATAAGAGAAGCATGTTCAGCATTTCCCCTCTCCTTCTCCTTCCCTTCTTCCGAGTAAGTTCTCTATACTCTTTCATGGAGTAGTTTTCTTATAAGGGCGTCCTCGGATGCCTTAAGCAGTATTTATTAAAAGATGCGATAATCATTTAAAGACTTAAATATTTTTTTGTATAACTTTATTTTGTGCTCATATAAGCTTATAAGGAGATGTCTAACCGGCTTTGCCAGATTCAATCATCTCATAATCTTATCATAGACTTGTGTGTTTATTTTTCTGTCTTTATTTTCCTTCATTTATTTTTTGTTCATGTATAAGCTTATGAGGAGATGTCTAACCGACTCTACCAAATTCAGTCATCTCATAATCTTATTCTGAACTAACTAACTCTTTCTACCCATAATCATGTGAAATCAATTGCAATCATAAGGTAAAAGAAGAATTTATATCAGTTTTTTTATTGGTAAGAGTAAGAGTCTTAGCAGCACCATTAAAAAAAAACACAAATACAACAATGGAACAAAAACACAAAAAGCCAATTCACGGAACCCTTGTCAGAAAAATAGAAATGACATCATGTACCAAGATTTGTCCTACGTCACAAATAAAAATACACAGATCTTGATTGTCTACGCTCAAAGAGCATCAAAATGCTTTCACCATACAATCCCATTTTTTTCTTTTCTCACCGTTGTCGCCGCCGTCCATTCCGACGTCCTGGGGACGTCTCGAACGTTTATGCGAGCGATCGCGAATAGATGGTTTGGACTCGCGTTTTTTGTTAAAATTATGTTCATTGCTTTCGAGGAGCTCAACACTGAACTGTCCTCTAATAAAAGCAAGGTTTTCGAAAAGGGGTTCTTTTGGAGTCGTCACCAATGTTTTGACCGGAAACATTGGAAAAGGAAAAAAGACGTTGATTTTAATAAAAACCAACTTGGCCATTATAACCAGAGTTGGGTAAGGGAGTTAGTTACGTGTGGGGAAGGTGTTAGCACCCCACAACGCCCCTTTCGGGTTCCCTATGACGGATTAATTCATTAAGTGAAGATTATGAGAAATTACGCAGTTACCCTTATTTTATTTGTACAGTAAATATGGCTATCTACATGATTTTATTTACATTTTATGAAGCAATAAATAAAACAGTAAAGGAGAAGAGATTTGAGAAGAACCTCCGTAGCAAGCTTTATATATCAACTCTGTTACAATAAGGACGCTTTTCGCAGTCCCTCGCTCTACAATGACTCTCCTCTCGATTACGGACTCGACTCGACTAAATTTTCTAGAAGAATCGAATGCTCGGAATACAAATTCCTTAACTGATTGTTACCTTTTAAAGGCAATCAGAAAGATCATTCGAGAGAGGGAGAGAAGTAGACAAGTCTTCTGAGTTGTCTGGTGTGTCTTGGATGACAAAATGAGGCTCCTATTTATAGATTTCGTAGCCTGGACATCTGGGACGGCCGTCTGGGTTGGGACGGCCGTCCCAACTGCACATTTTACATTGGGACAGTTTGGGACGGCCTGGTGCATTTGGGACGGCCGTCCCATTTGAATTTAGGGACTTGGGACGCGGGTCCCAAATGTGAGACGTGCGTCCCAAATGTGAGACGTGCGTCTCACATGCATTTTTTGTGTTTGGGACGGCTGTCCCAAACTGCTTTGGCCTGTCTTCGCGTTCCGGGACCCCCGAGAAGCTTTCCTTTCCTTTTTTCGGACGTCGTTTGATGCCGATGTGTGTCCGTTGAAGCTTTATCTTCATATAGGAAGTCTTCTTGGCCTTCATTAAGATGTCGGGCGAGCTTTGTCTTTGTGTAGGAAGTCTCTTTTGCCTTTTGCCTTTATTGTGTGGATGGGGTGACCTCCGTCTTTGTTGTGGGAGGTTTCCTCGATTTTGGGAAGCCTGATGAACTCCATCTTCGGGCGAAGTTCCTCTAGCTTTTATTTTGAGAAGCCGGGCAAAATTAGGGGTCTACAACCGTACAAGCCAACAACAAAATATTGCTTATTTATGTACATTGAAGAAAATAAAATACAACATTCAAAGTATATTTCAATCATAACGCTTCTGTAACAACTAAGTAGTGCAGTTTTGTACCTGATTTTTTCAAGAAGCTTGAAACTATACGAAACCTGGCTATGAACATCACGAGCATCTAATTTAATAAAAGCTACAAACACTAGCTTGTAGCACAAACCCGTAGTTCCACCTAGCTTGCGAAATTGCTTATGTTTGTTACTACCCCTTCGAGATGAATTTCTCTTTTGATCTTTTGTAAATTGAATAATCGCATTTTATTATAAAGTGCACAATCATGCACATCGATTTTTATATATAGCCAATAACAAAGGAAAAAAATTGAAACAATGTTACGGGCTCACTTATTGTATAACCGTATAACAAACTCGATACAAGAATGACATAACAAAAAATAATAAATTTTGACAATTAATCATTCTTATTAAAATGGGAATTAAGTGGTAATACCCCCCATAAGCGAGACTGTGGATATTCTAGAGACCTAGTTTGTTGAGACAAACAGAGAATGACTTTAGATGGAGTGCTTTGGTAAATATGTCAGTCAGCTGAGCAGTTGATGAAATAGGGAATAAGAAGAAGGTGGAGGAGTCCTAATTGAATGCGCTCCCTGATTACATGGCAGTCAATTTCTATATGCATAGTACGTTCATGGAAGGTCGAATTGTGAGTCAAGTAGATAGCAGATTGGTTGTCACAGTAGACTGAAACTGATGCAGAGAATGGTAGCATAAGATCGGTCAACAAGTACTGTAACCACTGTATTTCACAAGACAATGTTGTAAGGGCGCGATATTCAGCTTTTGAAGAGGATCTGGATATAGTGGTCAACTTCTTAGTTTTCCAAGAAACCAAGGAGGAACCAAGCATAACACAATATTCGGTGATTGATTTTCTGGACTTAAGACAAGTTCCCCAATCTGAGTTAGCAAAGCTAATGGGTGTGGAATTGACAGCAAAAAAAATACCTTTAGTTGGTTATCCTTTGAGATATTTCAATGATTGTATAACAGCCTGATGATGAGACTGTAAAGGTTTGGAAACAAATTGACTTAGCTTTTGTGTTGCATAATAGATATCAGGCCTGGTGGTGGTTAAATAAAGCAATTTACCAACCATTCGCCTATAAGTTTGAGGCTCCGAATAAGGTTGAGAGTGATCACTAGTTAACCTTGTAGAATGATCCATTGGAGTGCTGACAGGTTTGGCAGCAAGCAATAATTCCAGTGAGTACTTCCTTTGATTAACCAATATTCTCGACTTAGAGCGACTTATCTCGAGGCCTAGAAAATCTTGCAAATAGCCTAAGTCCTTGATGCTAAATTGCTTATCCAAGTATCTTTTAACAGATGTGATCTCACCCATGTCATTGCCAGTGAGCACAATGTCATCTACATAGATCAATAGAGTTGTGAACTTATTATCATTAGACTTAGTGAAAAGGAAGTGGTCTACAACTAATTGAGAGTAACCAAGAGAGAGCAATGCAGTGATTAATTTGGCATACCACTGCCTACTAGCTTGCTTCAGTTCATATTGTGCAACTTGCAAACTTGGTTGGAGTGAGTTGCTGTCATGCTCGGTGGTAAAACCATATAGACCTCCTCATGTAAATCGTCATGTAAGAATGCATTATTCACAAGAACCAATTTTTCGCAGCAACTAGTGCGAGGATTACTCTTACTGTTGTTAGTTTGGCTACCGGAGAGAAAGTATCAAAGAAATCTACTCCTTCTAGTTGAGTGTAATCCTTGGCCACAAGTCACGCTTTGTATCTCTCAATGGTTCCATCAGCATGGTATTTTATCTTATACACCCACTTGCACCCAATAGGAACCTTACCAGGAGGGAGATCAACAAGAACCCAAGTGTTATTTTCCTCAAGAGCCTTAATCTCAACAGTCATGGCATTCTTCCAACAGTCTAACTGAGAGGCTTGTGCATAGCTTTGAGGTTCAATCAAGGAGGTTACATTGTAACAAAAGGTTTTATAAGATGGGGAACAATTATCATAAGAGATATAAGATGACAAAGGATATAAAATTGAACTAGAGGGTAAAGACTTACTGTAGGAGGTGTTGGTGTAGCTGTCAGCAGATAGACTACAATGATAATCCCTTAAATACTGTGGTTGCTCCCTTTGTCTAGTAGAATGCCTTACAGGTATTGAAATCTCTTGGTTATTAGGTATATTAAGTGAAGAAATTTGTGGAATGGGTTCAAGATTCAATTAGTCAATGTTGGTTGGTGCAGGCTCTTGGACAGGACTACAAGGTGCATGAATGTGTAAGTCAGTTAGAAGATGCACAGTTTTGTAGCAGGGTTGCGACAGCATTGACAGATCAAGTGGTGATTTTTCATGTTCATTAGCACTAGAGGGAAAAGTTTGTTAAAAAAACACTACATTCCTAGAAGTAAAAATGTTTCTTAATTGAAGATCATATAGAACATAACCCTTTGTTCCATATTTATAACCAATAAAAACAACTTTATTAACTTTAGATGATAACTTATTTCTATTTGCCTGCAATGTACTAGCATATGCTAAACATCCAAAGACCCTTAAATGATGAAGAGTGAGAGCATTCCCGTAAAGTACTTCATAGGGGCATTTCTGCCTTAGCAAAGGAGTTGGTAGTCTATTAATCAGATGAATGGAATGTGTTATAGCATAACACCAAAGGTGTTTAGGGAGTTGAGCCTAAAAAAGAAGTGCTCTTGTAACATTCATTATGTGTTGGTGTTTTCTTTCAACCACCCCATTTTGTTGGGGTGTTTCAACACAGGTGGTTTGGTGGAGGATTCCTTTGCTAAGGTAAAATTCTGTCATGAAGAATTTTGGACTATTGTCACTTCGTATACTTGTTTAGTGTTAAATTGTGTTTCAATATAATTCATAGAATTTTGAAGATGATTCCTAGTTTCACCTTTGTGTTTCATTAATTTAACCCAAGTGAATATGGAAAAATCATCCATAATGGTTAAAAAGTACTTGTGACCTGAAATGGAAGTAAAAGAGCATGGTTCCCATATATTCACATGAATCAAATTAAATATTTTCACTAATTTACTAATACTAGAATTGTATGGTAATCTCCTTTGTCTAGCATATTGACATACATCACATGGTAAAATGTTTTTATAAGGAAAATGTTGACATATGATCTTCAACTTGGAGTCAGAAACATGGCCTAACCTAAGGTGTCAAAGGACAGAAGTATCAGGATCATGAGAAGATCTAGTACAAGCAAAGGAATTGTGTTTGAATTCTGTCAGAGTTGCATACTGAGGGTTTAACACGTATAGTCCATCATGATGCTCAACTAAACCGATCATCCTCTTATTGCAAATTTGTTTAATGAAACAAAATTGGGAGTGAAAAACAAGGTAGCACTACAATGTCTTAATCAATTTGGAAACAGAAATTAGGTTGACTCAAAAATTAGGTACATACAATACATCAAGAAGGATTAAAGAATCTAAGATATGAACTGTACCAGAAAAAATGGCATGTGTTTTGGATCCATTAGGTAAGGTAACAGATAATGGAGTAATTTTATTTAATGAGCTAAAACTAGAGATGTTGAAATTCATGTGATCAGTTGCATCCGTGTCCAGAAGCCACTGATTACAATGTTTACCTGTATTGGACAAGGATTCAGTGTTTAAGACTATGGTATGAGCAAGATTGGAAGAGTGTGAGGTAGTTGAAGCCCCTTGATTAGACTGCTGTAAAAGTGCCAATATGCCTTGATATTGTTCCTGAGTGAAGTTAACACTTGATTGTTGGCTAGCGACCTACGTTGGGAACCCTTGGTCATTGTAATCATCGACTATACTTGTTGTATTTGTACTTCTAGCCCTTGACTTGTAGCCTGGTGGGAACCCATGTTTGAAATAACATGTGTTGATGGTGTGATTGTTTCTGCCACAGTGAGTACACAATTTATTGCCAATATTTTGTCCTCTTCTGCACCGCCTCGTCCTCTCCCCCTTCCAAAAGCACCTCTCCTAGCAGTACCAGTTGGAATGAAATTAGTATTAGCAGCAAAGGCCTTATAATCAACATTAGTATCCGCGATTACTGTCGAGTTTATGTGTCTTTCCTATTGAATAACTAGCGAGAACACCTTAATGATGGGGGGCAGAGGATCGATGAGCATGATTTGAAATTTGACATGGGTGAATTGATCATTTAGACCTTTAAGAAAACGAATTACTTAATCCTGATCCTTATATATTTTGAACGATTGAATGACTCCACACGTACAAGAAATGGAGCATTTACAGTTGACAACGGGTCTGAATTTTCAAGTTCATCCCACAAACTTTTTAATTGGGTGAAATATTGACTTACAAACAAAGTCCCTTGGTGCATGCGATAGATCTCTTCTTGGAGATCTGAGATGCGAAAGATGTCACCCTGTGAGAACCTATCCCATAGATCATTCCATGCGTCTAAGGCTTGATCAATCCATAAAATAGATTGCATAATGGAGTCATCTATTGATCTATGTATCCAGGCCAATACCAAAGTGTTGCATCTTTCCCATACTCCATACAATGGGTCCGTCATCAAGGGAGGGGTGAGGCTTCTATCTACTGGCTTCAACTTATTCTTGGATAGTAGAGTCAGCCTCATCGCTCTTGCCCACATATGATAATTTCGACCATTTAAAGGAGGGGAAACTAGTGCTTGAGAAAGTCTTTCATTGGCGTGAAAAAAAAAGGATTAAAGGGATTGGTCAAATAGTCAACATAGGAGCTCTGGTTTGCCATCATTCACAATTTCATAAAAGAATATGAATGAAACAGAAAGAAAAGAGATGTCTCAGAAAATGCAAAAATCATTGGCAGCCAGAGCTCCTTTCGGAGCTCTGATACCATCTTGTAAATTGAATAGTCACATTTTATTATAAAGTGCATAACCTGAAAGCAATGAAGGGGAGATTGATGATAATGTGAAATATGTTCCTACATTCCCAAAAGATGATTTTGATGATGATTCAAGTCAACAACATTCAAGACTCAAGTAAGCCCAAAATGATTCCTGAAGACTAGATAGAGTCTTAGAATACTGGATATGGAGGTACATGTTGATGAAGTGATATTATGCATAAGCCTCCAAAGCACAAGTGTGGTAAAATTTTGTAACATGACACTTTTCACTGTCATCATTAATTATGATGCATGAGAAATGGAAAAACGTTCTCTATCATAATTGATTATACT